TTCCATTTATTTGTGTCTTTAATTTTTTTCAGCAGTGAAAACAGTGCTGTTTTGCAATTTTCAGTGCATAAATCTTTTGCCTCCTTGGTTAAATTAATTCTAAAATATTTTATTGTTTTCAGTGCTATTGTAAATGGAATTGTTTTCTTAATTTCCATTTTGGACTGTTCATTGTTAGTGTATAGAAATGCAACTGGTTTTTGTGTGTTGATTTTTTTTTTAAAGATTTTATTTATCTATTTGACAGAGAGAGAGACAGTGAGAGAGGGGACACAAGCAGGGGGAGTGGGAGAGGGAGAAGCAGGCTTCCCGCGGAGCAGGGAGCCCAGTGTGGGGCTCGATCCCAGGACCCCGGGATCATGACCTGAGCCGAAGGCAGACGCTTAACGACTGAGCCACCCAGGCGCCCCTGTGCGTTGATTTTGTATCCACTAACTTTACTGAATTTGTTTATTAGCTGTCTCAGAAATTTTTTGTGATCTATAAGGTTTTCTACATGGAAGATGCCATCTTGTGAATAGAGATAATGTAACTCCCGTTTGGATAATAATATTTTTATCAGTGCTATTTTAAACAATCATGATGTGAACAAAAATTTTAAATTACTTACTGTTCATTTTTCCATTTAAAAAAACCATTTTGGTCAATGTGATCATACCCATGATCATATAACCAAATTTCAGAGACTGTGTTGTCCATTGTGTCTTAAACACAGGTAGATCAATGAATTGAAAGTGAAAAATAGTTTTGTAAGACATTATCATTGAAGGAAAGTGGGTAATGAATACACAGAATCTTTCTTAAAATTGCATGTGAATCTACATTTATCTCATAATAAAAAATTCAGTTTAAAAAGTGGCTAGTTCCTCTATGCATAAACATCTCCAAAATAATAGTACAAAAGAAAACACATAAAATATTTGGAATTCCACAGTTTCTCCTGGAAAAAAAATAAAGCAGTAAACATTCAAGGGAAAGAACACAACCTGTAGTTAAGAATACTGACATTAGGACTCAAAATTTGTCTAAAATCTAGTCATTCATGATATGGTTAGTTTACAGGAAGAATTAAATTTTTTTAGATCCACTTGCAGATAGGCAGATCAGATTTCACTAGTCGTCTGCATCAAGCCACTATTGAAATTGTGTGACTGTAAGCATGAAATTGTGTGACTGTAAACATTGTTCCTCAGTGGAGATTTTTAACCACTTTTAAAGGATGGTCTTAAGGACTTATTTAGCATGTACAGTTAAGTAATGTATATAGTACTGGTTGAGTCAGCTTCACATTTTGGTAGAGATGGGAAGAGTGACAACCATGTCTAGATTTAATAAAATATATCATTTGCAATAGTTCACAGTTATAAAACTGGTAAGTTAACGTGTGTGGTTTTGCCTTAGGAAGATTGTTCACTTCACAAAAGGATTGATAAATGTTGCCTTTTTAAATAGTTGATTTTGGTGTGTTTAAAATACCATTTCCACAAATGAGACTTCACAATTACAAGGATCATCTCTGAAAGTGTGATTCTAAAAATGAGGCAGATTTAAAAAACTGACATCAGAGCTTTTATATACAGATTAGTATTTCCCTTCTAAGTATTCACTGTAGGAGGCCATGCTGATATCAGTGATGTCATTCCTTAGGACATTTTGAGAACTCTCCTTTTGTAACCCATTTAGAATGCATGCAAGAAAATAAATCTTAAGGAATACTTCAGATTTTGGCAAAAACAAATTTTACCCAACTTGATAACTCACCACATTTGATTCTAAATGACATTTGGCTATTTCTAAAAATCACATCCGCCCTCAATGAGAGAAGATTTTTCAAATAAATGGGCAAAACTTTTTTTTAATTTTTTTTAAAGATTTTATTTATTTATTTGAGAGAGAGAATGAGAGATAGAGAGCACGAGAGGGAAGAGGGTCAGAGGGAGAAGCAGACTCCCTGCCGAGCAGGGAGCCCGATGCGGGACTCGATCCTGGGACTCCAGGATCATGACCTGAGCCGAAGGCAGTTGCTTAACCAACTGAGCCACCCAGGCGCCCATGGGCAAAACTTTTTAAGTATCAAATTTTTTTTTCTTTTACCACTTGGCTTCTACCTGGTCTCATAATTTATAATATAACACAAACATGTTTATGTCTAAAAGTGCTATCCTTCACAGAAGGAAAGATTTCTACTGATTGTATCCAATTGTTTTAATTTTTGCATTTGGTGATACTAATATTAAAGGTTTATGCTGATTTATCCGTAGTCCTGACCTTGGCCAGCTACAGCATGAATTCATGTGATCACTGGCTTTGTGGTTGGATTTCTGTGAATTCTAGGAATGAGTGAGAAAATCGTTATTCTGCCAGTTTGCTATATGCTCTTTTCTAAAGAACAACTTTTTTGCTCTTTGTAATCTATTGATGGGACAAGATGTAGAATGACATCATTCATTCTTTTTTTTGAATTTTGGTTACAAGGAGTTTCGTGTGCCATTGGTAGACATGTAGCATCTTTTTCTCTGGTTCCATTTTCTGATTAAAGATTAAGGACTCTGAGTCACTCGACAATTTTTCGAAAGCAAGTTTATGGCAAAAAGTAGAAATTATACCAAGTCTTGGTACCTTTATTCTAGAGGCAAGTTTGTTGCAGAATTTTGTTAAACAAACAAACCAAAAAAAAAAAAAAACCAAAAACCCTCTTCATCGAAACAAAACCACCAAAATTCCACACAGTCATATGTCTGTTATATCTCATTTCTTTTTCCTTCCCTTAATATCCTGGGTTCTCTCTAGCCAAACATAAGAAAATGGTGCAGAGGGGACTATTGGTCTTGGGGTGGGCCCAGTGCACTGCTTGAATGGGGATGGTGCCTCGCCCAGGAAGCACTAACACAGCTGTTACCCGATTCAGTGTTTTAATTTGCATTCTGTTGATTCTTAGTGAGGTTGCAGTGCTTTTTCTCCCAATTTTTTGTTACCCAGTTGTATTCTCTTTTTAAAAATTGTTTCTGTCTTTTATTCATTTATCTACTAAGACTTGAGTATTTTTAAAAAATATGAGGATTTTTTATCTCATTTTCAAATTATTTGCCTTTTACATTTTGGTTATGGATATCTTTGGAAGTGTATGCACAAGTTTTTTTTATGTAAATACATAGGTATGTTCTTGAATTTCTTCCTCTGTTTGCATTTTTTATTGAGAAAATTTACATAAAATTCACTATTTAAACCAATTTAGTTTATAAGTCAGTTTATTTTTTTTTGAAAATTTACAATATTGTGCAGCTGTCACACTTTGTAATTCTAGAACATTTTCATTGCCCCAAAAAGTAGCCCATACCTCCCAATACCCCACTTCCGCTGTCTCCTGGCAATCACTGATCTTTTTTTTTTTGCAATCACTGATCTTAATGTCTCTATAGAATTGCCTATTCTGGACATTTCATATATATATACAGGGAATCATCCAATATGTGGCATTTTGCATTTGCCTTTTTTAGCATGTTTCCAGGTGTCATCCATGTTTTAGCATGGGTGTATATTTTATTCCTTTTTATCGGGACCTAATATTCCATTGTTTATTTAACAGTTGGTAGACATTTGGGTACTTTCTACTTTTTTAGCTGTTACGAATATTGCTACTATGAACATTTGTGTACAGTATTTGTGTGGATATATGATATCATTGTTTTGGATATATATCTAGGAATGGAATTACTGAGTCATTTGGTAACTTTTTAACTTTTTGAATTACTACTAAACTTTTTCACAATGACTGCATCATTTTACATCTCCATCAGCAATATATGTGGATTCCAGTTTCTCTACACTCTTGCCAACCCTTATTTTTCATTTAAAGAATTATATCCACCCTAATGAGTGTAAAATAATATCTTGTGGTTTTGATTTGTGTTTTTCTAATGACTAATAATCTTGAACATTTTTCATGTTTTACTGGCGCTTTGTATATCTTCTATGGAGAAGTGTATATCTATGTCCTTTGCCCATTTTATTTTTAGATTTTATTTATTTGAGAGAGAATGAAAGGAAGAGAGAGCATGAGAGGGTGGAGGGTCAGAGGAAGAAGCAGACTCCTGGCTGATCAGGGAGCCTGACGCGGGATTCAATTCTGGGACTCCAGGATCGTGACCTGAGCCAAAGGCAGTTGCCTAACCGACTGAGCCACCTAGGCATCCATGTCCTTTGCCCATTTTTAAATTGGGTCCTTTCTCTTTTTATTGTTAAATTATAAAAATTCTGTATTAAAAGGTTAAACATCCTTTAAAGGAGATATATCATCTTATTTGAAGGATATATATTATGCAAAAGGATATTAATACCTTTTCAGATATATGATTTGAAAATACTTTTCTTTGTTGTATGGTTCATCTCTTCACTTTCTTGATGGTATCTTTTGATACACAAAAGTTTTGAATTTCAGTCAAGTCAGTTTTATCTATTTTCCCTTTTTTAAGTTTAGGAAATCCTGTATTAGAAATGGGATATATGTTTATTTGGTACATTCTTTTAAGGTTTTAACTTTTATAAATATGTTGGATTACAGATGTACCTATTATATAACTTAGCAGGATATGCTGTAATAATTTAGTTATATAAATATTTCCCTGGGAATCTGTGAGCTCTTCTAAGTCCTGTTTTAGATTTTCTTCATCTTTTTGTCATTTATACAATTATTCTGTGACAAGCAAAAGATAGAGTGATTAAAAAAATACAGAGGCCTTCCAGAGAGTGTTTGGTAAATATATTTGATACATTAGTCAATTGTTATTTTAAATGATGTAAAGCAAAATCACTCAGGATTTTACTCGTGTTTTCAAATCCTCAATGAAATAATGAAAATTCATTTTCTTTTACTTATTTTGAATATGCATTCTTTCAGACCACTTACAGTATAGGTATGTTTTCAGTTTGTTAGAAGTTTACATTTGATTAAATATGTGACAGGCTAATTAAAGAAGTTCTTTAAATTTTTGTTTTGATAGTGAAAGCAAGTTGAATACATTGGTGCAGAAGCTTCATGACTTCCTGGCACACTCATCAGAAGAATCTGAAGAAACAAGTTCTCCTCCAAGACTTGTGATGAACCAAAGCACAGGTACATTGAGAAATAATGTGCAGTATCTTCTAGTCTATTTTCCATTTAGTTTTGGGAGGGAGCAACTGTTGAAGGCTTTATTGGCCCTTCTGAATCTAGTGTTTAGCTAATATTTGATATTGGAAATTTTAATTTAGATAAGTAAAATGTAAGTTGTATGGTTATAGGTGCTTAGAGAAGGATGCACTATGGTTTTATGCGTAATGGAGATATCTTATAGCATGGGTGATAAATGTTCATTATGAAAGATAGGTAGTATTAGAAGAGGTGGGAGCAGTATAGAAATGTATTATTTTATTTATTTGCATATTATGAGTTAATTTTTTACAGTATAGAAATGTATTATTTTATTTATTTGCATATTATGAGTTAATTTTTTACATCGTTTGATAACTTCTCTGAGTAGAATTGGTGAATTTTTTTAATAAAAAAGACTCAATACCTCCTTTCTACCTCCTTTTCTCCTTTTTAAAAGTGTCCTGTATCATGTGATGATCACTTTTGAGGTTTTCAAGGGTAGCTACATATATAAGAGCTGAATACACACACACACACACGTGCATGTGCACCACAAATACAGTATGTACAAAAAGTATAAGAGTGGTAGACCACAGTGAGAAGTTCAATCATATATGTAATTAGAATCCCATAAGGGGAGAAAAGATAGAATGGGTCAGAAACCTAGCTGAGCATTTTCTGGAAGTGATGAAAGGCATCAAGCCATAGATTCATGAAACTCTGTGAACCTCAGGCAGGATAAATATAAAGAAAACTATAACTAGATATATCATAATTAAACTCCTAAAGGACAAAAAGCCAAGAGAAAAACTTACAAGCAGAGGAAAAATATCATTGCTTTCAAAGGAACAGCAATAACAATGATAGCACAGTTAACAACATGAATGATAGAAACTACATGATAATGAAATGATTTCTTTAAAGTACCAAATGAAAATAATTGCCAACTTGGAACTGTATATTCAGTGAAAGCATCTTTCAAAAGTGAAGGTAGAATTAATATAGACAAAAAGTGAGAACTCCATCATGTCAGTAGACCTACAATAGATGAAATATTAAAGGGTTTTCTTAAATCAGAAGGAAAATAATCTGAAATGGCAACACCAAAATATAGGAAGTATTGAATAATGGGAAGGGTAAGTAGGTGGGTGAAACTAAATACATAGTGTTATCTAATCCATAGTCCTTATTCTTAATTCAAAAATTGCCCCAACAGTTTTTTTATAGGTAAATTTTTCCTCGCAAGTCAAGTATCCACTTGAAGATAACATATATAGATAGCATATGGTTGCCTTGTCTCTTTAATCTTTTTATTTTTTAAAAGATTTTATTTATTTGAGAGAGTGCACACTCGAGAGCAGAGTGGGAGGGAGAGGAAGGGGGAGAGAGTCTCAAGCAGACTCTGTGCTGATGGATTATGGGCTTGGCTCCATCTCACCACCCATGAGATCATGGCCTGGGCTGAAACCAAGAGTTGGATGCTTAACTGACTCAGCTACCCAGGTGCCCCTCTTTAGTCCTTTTAAATCTAAAACCATTTCTTTGTCTGTTGGGGCCATGATACTTTTGAAATGTACAGGTCTGTAATGACCGTTGATATGAATTTGTCTGATGAGTTATAATTAGATTCAGGTTATTTATTTTTGTTGGGGTTAATATGTGGTGTTGTGTTCTTGTCAGTACATCATATCACAAGGCACATGATGTAATTTTTTTAAAGCTTTATTTTTTTAAAGATTTTACTTATTTGACAGAGAGTGCACATAAGCGCACAAGCAGGGGGAGCAGCAGGCGGAGGGTGAGGGAGAAGCAGCTCCCCACTTAGTAGAGAGCCCGACTTGGGGCTCAATCCCAGGACCCTGGGATGATGGATGACCTGAACTGAAGGCAGACGCTTAACCGACTGAGCCCACCCATGCACCCCTGTAATTTTTTCTTTTATTGGTGATGTTAACTTAGCTTACTTGACTGTGGTTGTTATGCTAGATTAATCCACTATAAACTTATGATTTATTCCTTTGTAACTAATAAGTAATTTGTAGGGTATTGTGAAACTAGGTATTCTTTTTCATTATCAAAAGTTAACTTACGTGTTTTCTATCGCACATAACCACAAACATGGCATCTTAAAATAATCCAAATGTATTATTTCACAGTTCTGTAGGTCAGGAATCCAGTGAGCCTTTCTGGGCTCTTCTCAGGGTATCACAAGGCTAAAGTGAAAGTGTCTTTGAGACTGTGTTCCTTTCTGAAAGCTCTGTGGAAAAATCCATTTCTGTGCTCATTTAGGTTGATCGCAGAATTCAAGTCCTTGTGGTTATAGGTCTAAGGTTCCCATTTCTTGCTGGCTGTTGGTCAGGATTCTCTCTCTTAGCTTAAGGCTGTTTGTATTTCTTCTCACATGGCCCCCTCCATATTCAAAGTCAGCACGTTGAGTCTTTCTCATGCTTTGAATCTCTTTTGCTTGCTTCTTCAGCCATCATCTGGAGAAATTTACCTACTGTTAAGGACTCGTGTGATTACACTAGCCAAATCCCTTTTACCCCTTCCTCCAATTTTTAAGGTCAGTGGTGCTGTTTTACATAGTACAGTCATGGAAGTGGCATTTCCTCACATTCATAGGTTCTGGAGATTAGGGAGCATGAAATCTTGGGGGCCATCTGTAGAAATTCTGCATACCACAGTATCCATTCATGATTCTTGGCTAAATGATATATTACATTGATGGGTTCCAAATGCTGAATAATCTATTATTACTTACATCTTTTAGTTGATATATTACTGTAAGTATATGGGAGGGCTTTACATTCTATTCTCTCTTCATTTGTTTAATTTGTATATACTAATATTCTTTCTTTATTCATTAATATCTCTATATTTATTTCAGTGTTCTTTTGTATCACTGGTGGCAAGTGGGAGCCCCTTCTATATGGCTCCTGCTGACCTTTTTACAAATCATCATCCTAGAGCACTTCATTACTTTCCTGCCCTCACAAGATGTTGAATGTGTATTTTGCACTGTCCTTTACCTGGCCCAGAAATCAGTTATTTCTCCAAGGAGTTCCACTTGGTTTTAGTGAGATACTGTATTTAGAAACCAAGATCTGGTTGTATAGTGTTCTCATTGCAATCAGGACATCTTTGGTTACATGCCCTTACACAGAGAAAATGGATATATGTGTTAATATTTTCATGAGTTGATATTGATACTTTTATTTTTAAATTATTTTTAAATTCCAGTATAACTAACCTTACAGTTTTATATTATTTTCAGGTGTACAATATAGTGATTCAACAATTCTATACATTAAGAGTACTCTTAGTCCCCTTTACTTACTTCACCTGCCCACCTGCCCTCTGGTAACCACCAGTTTGTTCTCTTTTGTTTGTTACTTTTTTCTTTGTTTTGTTTCTTAAATTCCACATATGAGTAAAATCATGTTGTATCTGTCTTTATCTGACTGGCTTATTCTGCTTAGCACTATATCCTTTAGATCTATCCATGTTATTGCAAATGGTAAGATTTCATTCTTTTTTATGGCTGAGTAATATTCCATTGTATATACATACCACATTGTCTTTATTCATCTATTGATGGACACTTGGGTTGCTTCCATATATTGGCTATTGTAAATAATACTTCAGTAAACATAGGTGTGCATATATCTTTTCAAATTAGTGTTTTTGTATTTTTGGGATAAATATCCAGTAGTTGAATTACTGGATCTTATGGTAATTCTATTTTTAATTTTTTGAGGAACCTCTATATGGTTTTCAGCAGTGGCTGTACAGTTTGCATTCCTGGCAACAGTGCACAAGGGTTCCTTTTTCTTCACATCCTTGCCAATACTTGTGGTTTCTTGTGCTTTAAATTTCATCCATTCTGACAGGTGTGAGTTGATAATCTCATTATGGTTTTGATTTGCATTTCCTTGACAAGTGATGTTGAGCATCTTTTCATGTTGGCCATCTGTATGTATTTTTCGGAAAAAATGTCTGTTGATGTCTTGCCCATTTTAAAATTGGATTATCTGTGGGGTTTTTTGGTGTTGAGTTGTATAAGTTCTTTATATATTTTGGATACTAACCCATTATTGGATATGTCAATTGCAAATATCTTTTCCCACTCAGTAGGTTATCTTTTGGTTGTGTTGATTGTTTCCTTTGCTGTGCAGAAGCATTGTATTTTGATGTAGTTCCAGTAGTTTATTTTTGCTTTTGTTTCCCTTGCCTCAGAAGACACATCTAGAAAAATGTTGCTATGGTGGATGTCAGAGAAATTACTGTGTGTGCTCTCTTCTAGGATTTTTATGGTTTCAGGTCTCACATTTAGGTCTTTAATGCATTTTGAGTTTATTTCTGTGTATGGTGTCAGAAAGTGGTCCAGTTTCATTCATCTCAAATTTTTATTTGCATGTTGCTGTCCAGTTTTCCCAGTATTTGTTGAAGAGATTTTTTCCCATTGCATATTCTTGCCTCCTTTGTTGAAAATTAATCAACCATATAATCTTGGATTTCTAGGCTAAAAGTTTGTGTTCTTCCTTACCAATTTGGATGCTTTTTATTTTCTGATTCCTGTGGCTAAGATTTGCAATACTATATTGTATAATAGTGGTGAGGGTGGATATCCCATGTTTTGTTCCTCACCTTAGGGGAAAAACTCCCAGTTCTTTCCCCATTAAGGATGATGGTAGCTGTGGGTTTTTTATAAATGGCCTTTATTATTTTGAAGTATGTTCCCACTAAACCTACTATGAGTGTTTTTGTCATGAAAGGATGTCATACTTTGTCAAATCCTTTTTCTGCATCTTTTGAAATTATCATAAGGTTTTTATCCTTTCTATATTGAATGAGATGTATCTCATTGGCTGTTTTTGTGAATATTGACTCACCTTACATCCCAGGAATAAATCCTGCCTGATCTTGGTAAATGATTCTTTAATGTATTGTTGGATTCACTTTGCTAATATTTTGCTGAGGAA